GAGCACTTTAGGGCCAGAGACCACAATTCTATTAGTTTTAAAAGAGAGTGATGGAAAAGGACAGACTGGATCTAAAAGTTAAAGTTCTTAATTGGAGGAAGGCCAATTTTGACGGTATTAGGCAAGGCAAGAACTTTCAAAAGCTGATTGAGGGTGGATGTTGGGTTAAAATTGAATCAGAGATAGTAGGAACTGCAGATGCTGGAGAATCCGAGACAACAAGGTGCAGGGCTGGATGAACACAGCAGGCCAAGCAGCATCATAGGAGCAGAGAGGCTGACGTTTCGGGCCTAGACCCTTCATCAGAAAAAGGTGGATGTTTACAGGTGAAGGCACGGCTGGAAAATGGGAAGCCTTCAAAAATTAGATAATGAGTCCAGGGACAGTACGTGCTTGTTAGGGTGAAGGGCAAGGCTGGTAGGTGTATGGAATGCTGGATAACTAGAGAAAAAAAAAGCCAAGGTTTTGGTCAAGAAAAAGAAGGAAGTATACATCAGGTGTAGACAGCAGAGACTGAATGAATCCTTAGAAGAATACAAAGGCAGTGGGAGTATAATTAAGAAGGAAATCAGGAGAGCAAAAAAAAAGAGACGTGAAATAGCCTTAGCAAATATGGTTATGGTAAAATTTTAGAGTAGATTTGTAGCTCGGGTTGTGGATGTGGTGATTGGTTGGCTCGCCGAGCTGATTTGTTGTTCTGCAGACGTTTCATTACCCTGCTGGGTAACATCATCAGCGCAACCTCCAATGAAGCGCTGTTGTGTTTTTCCACCTGTTATTTAAACTCTGGAGATGTTGAGCTGGATCACCTCACTTCCAGTTTTCCTTCGCAATGGGGTCTAGCTCTACGTGTTTATTGATGGCTTTCTTAGTGCAGTACCAGGCTTCTAGGAATTTTCATGCTTGTCTCTGCTTTGCCTGTCCCAGGATCCTGGTGTTGTCCCAATCGAAATGGTGGTTCACTTTATCCATGTGGATGGAGATGAGGGAGTATTGGTCATGTCTTTTTGTTGCCAATTGATGTTCGTGCACCCTTGTGGTTGGACATTGGATAAACAGGAAGGAAATTAACCACAAGGGTAATGAAATGTCTGCGGAACAGTGAACCAGCTCGGCGAGCCAACCAACCACAACAGGGTTATGGAAAATCCAAAGGGATTTCTAAATATATTAGGGACAAATGGGTAACTAGGGAGAAAATAGGACCCCTTAAAGATCAGCAGGGCTGCCTTTGTGTGGAACTGCAGGAGATGGGGGAGATACTAAACGAGTATTTGCATTAGTATTTACTGTGGAGAAGGATATGGAAGATATAGAATGTGGGGAAATAATTAGTGACATCTTGAAAAATGTCCATATACAGAGGTGGTGGTGCTGGATGTCTTAAAACACATAAAAAGGTGGATAAGTCCCCAGGACCAGATCAAGTGTACCCTAGATCTCTGTGGGAAGCCAGGGAAGTGAGCTGGCCCTTGCTGAGATATTTGTATCATCGATAGCCACAGGTGAGGTGCAGGAAGACTGGAGGTTGGCTAGTGTGGTGCCATTATTTAAAAAAGGTGGTAAGGAAAAGCCAGGGATCTACAGACCAGTAAGCGTGGCATCAGCAGCTGGTAAGTTGTTGGAGGGAATCTTAAGGGACAGGATTTACATGTATTTGGAAAGGCAAGGACTGATTAGGGATAGTCGACATGGCTTTGTGCTTGGGAAGTCATGTCTCACTAACTTGATCGAGGTTTTTGAAGAAGTAACAAAAAGGATTGATGAGGGCAGAGCAGTGGGCATGATCTATATGGACTTCAGTAAGGCATTAGGCAAGGTTCCTCATGGTAGACTGGTTAGTACCATTAGATCACATGGAATACAGGGAGAACTAGCCAATTGGATACAGAACTGGCTCGAAGGTAGAAGACAGAGGGTGCTGGTGGAGGGTTACCTTTCACACTGGAGGTCTGTGACTAGTGGTCTGCCACAACGATCGGTGCTAGGACCACTGCTTTTTGTCATTTATATAAGTGATTTGGATGTAAACATAGGAAGTACGGTTAGTAAGTTTGCAGATGACACTAAAATTAGAGGCGCAGTGGACAGCGAAGGTGGTTACCTCAGAGTACAATGGTATGTTGATCAGATGGGCCAGTGGGCTGAGGAGTGGCTGATGGAGTTTAAATTTAGATAAATGTGAGGTGCTACACTGTGGAAAGGCAAGTCAGGGCAGGACTTATACACTTAAATGGTAAGGTCCTGGGGAGTGTTGCTGAACAAAGAGACCTTGGAGTGCAGGTTCATAGCTCCTTGAAAAAGTGGAGTCACAGGTAGATACAATAGTGAAGGTGGCATTTGGTGTATTTGCTTTTATTGGTCAGTGCATTGAGTACAGGAGTTGGGAGGTCATGTTGCAGCTGTACAGGACATTGGCTCGGCCACTTTTGGAATACTGCATTCAGTTCTGGTGTCCCTGGTATAGGAAAGATGTTGCTAAACTTGAAAGAGTTCAGAAAAGATTTACAAGGATGTTGCCAGGGTTAAAAGGGTTTAAGCTATAGAGCAAGGCCGAATAGGCTGAGGCTATTTTGTCTGGAGTGTTTCAGGCTGAGGGCGACCTTACAGAGGTTTATAAAATCACGAGGGCCATGGATTGGGTAAATAGATTCGGCCTTTTCCCTGGGATTGGGGAGTCAAGGACGACAGGACATAGGCTTAAAATATTTAAAAAGGGACCTAAGGGGAAACTCATTCCACGTAGAGGGCGGTGCATGTATGAAATGAGCTGCCCGAGGAAGTCTTGGAGACTGGTACAATTACAACATTTAAAGGGCATCTGGATGGGTATATGAATAGGAAGGGTTTAGAGGGATATGGGCCAAATGCTGGCAAAATGGGACGAGATTTATATGGGATATCTGGTCGGCATAGACAAATTGGACCAAAAGGGTCTGTTTCTGTGCTGTACATCTCTAAGGTTTTGACTCTAACTACACAAACTGATGACTTTTCAAGTTCTTTTTTTATATAAAAGTGCAGCATAAATGCTTCAATGGTTGACCTCCCTCTTGTGGTCAACAGGGAAATTTAAAGTCAAAGCCTTGTCTGTGGCTGTTAGAGAACATTTCTAAATTATGCCTACACTTGAAAGATTAGTACTCAAACTCAAGTGCCAAGTCTAACAGTTTGATATCTAATTAGATAATTTTGTTTTAAATGCATTCAGCAATACGTTAGATACAGGATACATTCAATATAAAAATGCCAGTAGAAAGAAGTCTCAATTATTCCCACTATCATTATCTATTGTAACTTGGATAATGCAAAGGAACCCACAAACTTGAAGTCCAATTAATGTTCAGTCCTTTAAGGTTTTTAGGAAAAAATTTGTGCTGTCAAATCACAAGACTGTTGTAAAAACAACAATTCAAGAGAGTTGCTGAGAATCGCTAAAAAGTTCTGGGATAAACTTGGCGGGTAGAAAACAAAAATCACACAAAATCAAAATGATATACTGAATACGACAAGGACAATGAATACCTAGTATACAGCATGTAAGGAAGAATTCTAATTTACACAGTAACTCATTACATCTTCAGGGGCATCCTAAATTGTTTCACATTCAGTGAGTTACTTTGTTATTATGCAGACAATTACAGTAGGGTTCTTCCGCTCAATGATTCTACAAACAAGCAGCAAGACAAATGACCAATTAAACTAGTGCAGACTGAAGGTGGAAGCCATAGAAGTCAGTCAGTCATTCATTCATGAAAACTACCTCCTTCCTCAAGATAGAGCTAAAGAAACCTTTTTAACCCATCTAAGCAACCAGAAGGGGACTCAGTTTAACGTCTCACATAAGGCATCCACCTCAGAAAATACAGTCACCACATCAATGAATCCTTGGCATGAATCAACCAAGACTGAAACCAAGGCCTTGCCTGCCCTCATTGCACTACTTCTTTGAAGTAGGTTAAATAGTTATCCCAGTTCTCTGACCAACCCTCATTTTGTTGGGATCTTGTGTGCATTCCTAAATTACAACACTGGCTATATGTTGCTGCTTATAAATCAGGTATCACGAGGTTGTGCTGTAATAAAATTACAAAGTCCTGATACGTAAGCACACAGATATTATCAGGAGCTCAAATTTCAAACAAAATTTTTCTTTACAAAGTGGAAACAGCCACTGACAGAGCAAAAACAAAGTTGCTGGAAAAGCTCAGCAGGTCTGGCAGCATCTGTGAAGGAGAAAACAGAGTTAACGTTTCAGGTCCGGTGCAGCCCTTTTCCTTTTGACAGGTACAGTATTCTGTGCTCTCCAGAGAATGACACTTGCTGCAAGATGAAATTACACAAGTATAAATGATTATTTTACCCGTCCCTTTAAAGCTTTGGAGAAGATAAGCATTAGCAGAAAACTGCTCTTCCATTTAAAATTTTAGACTCCTGCCTTCATCATGCTTTTCAAGTTAAAGTTTGCTTATTTACATGTCCACAATTGTTCCACACAGCTTGGGCAAAACATGATAGCATCATTGTGGAAAGCCTCTGATACAAAAGCCACAAATTAAAATAAAACCATTTATTTTGAACTTTCCAAAAGTGAATGCCAATTTTGTCCTGGAGAGAACCTCAAGACATTCAACATCACTTGGGAGATCACAAAAGGGAACTTGCTTTTGAAGTATTATCATTAGCTACAGAGGTAACCAGCTAATTTACTGCTGGTAGTGTTTAAGGAAGATTGTTGACTAGAAAACAAGGAGAATGCTGCATTTCAAATGATGACTAAAATCTTAAAATTCCATTTGATGTAACATCTCCAACAGTATTTTATGATAGGTTTTATAACCTATCTGCCCTGTCACCTGAAGAAAACGAGGCAGCCTACAGATAATGTATTTAGCACATACACAGATGCTACTTCACTTATTAATATCTCATAACTAATCACATTCAGAACCCAAACTTCAGACTTCCTCCTTTGCCTGATATAAAAAAAAATTACCTACCTCATAATGTGAAAGAAAGTCCAGCAAGATAGAATGAGTTGAGATGTACTGAAGTGGACTCATTACTCGTCGAATGAAATCATGAATGTAAGCAGATGTAAGAGGGCCTTTGTATTCGATAGGTCCAAACCTTATACGATAAAAAGAATTTCCATGAATTGTGATATTATGGAGCTTTTACATCATTAGAGAGAGTTTAACATAATTAATAAAACAAAAACAAGAGAAAGGTAACTTTTGGATAGATATTCTAGGCCAACATCTCAGCCATAAAAACCACCAATGCTAAAATTTCTGCTCCTCTGATGCTGCTTGGCCTCTGTGTTCATCCAGCTCTACACCTTGTTATCGCAGATTCTCCAGCATCTGCAGTTCCTACTATCTCCGAATGCTCAAATTTAGTCGTCCTCTGTCTCAAACAAAATTTTCAGCTACCAGCAAACTTGGTGTAACTTTTTTTGACAATTTTTTTTTCTGGAAAACCTTAAATCAATACTTGCACATAGTCTAAAACTAATAAAGGTTTACTCATTAAAAATTATTTGTTTTTGCAGGGAAGAATGGGTATGATTTAGTGCTCAAGTTGATAAATGCTGAGAGTAAATGGATTAGGATATAACCAATAGCTTTCAGGAAGCAAGTTGGATGCACATTAAAGAGCTTTCCTGACCACCACATTATGCCTTAAAAATGCAGATCGAGTGCCCTCTACTACACCAATCAGGTGACAACACCAAACACCCTTGTGACATTTCAATAGACACGCCATTTATTGTCAATCTTCTCCTAATGGCCTGTAAAACAAAGTAGATTTTGGTTGAGACTCTTACATCTGAGTGGGGTAATGAACCCAAATCAAAACATAATATATTTAAACTTTTCATTTTAAATATAAGTCTAAATTTCATGAGCCACCCAGACACCTTAAATCTTGAAAGTGCAATTTGTTGATCAAAATATTTTATAACCTTCTTGAATTGCAGTGCTTTTATGTTAAAAATCCAATTTAAAGACTCTTTTGGTATGTAGGCATTTCAGTAATTCTTCCTTTTGGGAATAATAAAAGATTACTCATACCAGAGAGATTTTAATTTGATGACCAAGCTGTTGCTCAAACATTGCAGCAGCTGAGACAAAACCATAGAACAAGCTTTCTGTAATGTTATCACAGACTCACACCATTGTTTAAACAAGTTGCCAGTAACATTTTTAATACAGTTAATTTTCAACTAATGGCTTCTGGATTGTGAGCAGCTGTGCAAAGAAACACAAAAAAAATTACCATTCCAGAAATGAACAAGCACTGTCAGCTGCCCAGTTGAGTACCATGCAATTTCCATTACTAGCATTTATAAAAATTGTCATCCTCATGTTCTTTCCAAATCAACTTGAAAACTGTGAAATTTACTGAAGTACTTTCCTGTCTGCATATTCTAATCTCTAGATCAGTTACCCCGAATTTAGCCATTTTCCCCAAGGATTGATGAAACAGGAAACAGTGGGTCATATTTAATGCAGCAATATTCTTGCATTACGCTCACTCAATGGTACTGGAGCTCAGAGCCCAAGCACTTATTTTCTAGAAGCTAGTTTCCATCATCCACAGCATCTATAACCACTACAATCTACACCATTGTGTTGAAGTAGAGTAATGTGTTGCTTAGCAAATGATCCTAGAAATTCCACAGTTACTTCAAGTGCTTTGGAGTGTTTTAGTGCCTAAGAAGTGTCCTTTTGTTTCAAGTGCAAAAAGAGCAAGTATTAGGAGGCTAATGTCAAATGAGAATAAATCCAATTATAACCACCAGCTTTGGATAAGACAACAAGTTAAAATATTTCCATCCGCATTTTCGCAATGGAAGCAAGTGAGCATATGATTAGCTCTGATGCCATCACCACTTGGTCAAGCTTTTACAGGAATAGAAGCCACTTGGACCTGTTACTGGTGCATCACGATCTACACCTCAGAAGTTAAGTATCTGAGAAGGAGAGAGAAGAGGAGAAGAAAGAAAAAAGTTGGCTTAAACACAGAAACTCACTGTTAAGTTTACACATTTGGTGGAATCAGAGAAGGTATAGTGTCATTTTTCAGAGAAGCCATTATGTCGAGGCCCCATCAAGTCTCTCAAGAGAATGGAAAAGATCCTATGGCACCATTTCAAACAAAACCAGTGGAGTTATCCTAGTGTCCTGGCCAATATATACCTCTTAATCAGCATCGCAACAAACTAGATGGAGCTTGCTGTGTACAACCTTACTGTTGCATTTCCTACATTACACTGACTACACTTCAAAAATAATTCATTGACTGTAAAGCACTTTCAGATACACCTGGGTCATGAAAGGTTCGGGATAAATTCAAGCCCCCTTCTCTTCTTGGCAAGTTCACTCACATAAATGGAGAAATATTCTCCCTCATTTGAAGAAACAGCAGACTATTCCTGTCGTCTCACTGAACTACGTTTACCACTAATCAGACCAGGGGAATGAACATATTCTCTTTTCAACGTCTTAGCCAATTTCCATTTCAGCAAGATTCCTTCACCTCTCGAATGGATTTTATAGCCCTTTCTCACTGCCATATATAATTCAATACTGAATAATAGATCCAAGTGAAAAGGAAACCACTTTTCCTTCACACTACCACCACCTCACACCACAAATCTTGAACAAATTCTAAAAAAATTAAATTTAGTAAAGCACAGCAGCTTGTAATCCAGAAGTGGATACTTCTTTCATCTCAATAATTTGTCTCTAGTCCGTTTCTCAATATTGCAGTATGTTTTATACACAAAAAAAAACTTAGATTTCAGGAAGCAGTCTATGGCTTATGGACTGAATTGTGGGGGGGTGGGTGCCATTACGCACAGGACTACCTACCACCTCTCCTCCACCATCCCACCGGCCCAAACAAGTGCCTGTAACGCATTTCAGTGGTCACTCAGCAGGCTTATTGGTGGTCAGCAACAGCCCATCCTGCCTGAAGCTGCCATGAGGGGAGAGTAATCTCCTCAGCGCCAACCAACCCAATTATTTTTAATTCTCAGGAAGGGAAAATTCTGGCCCAAGGTTCTCAGCTGTTCAGTCATGTTTGTGGAATTTTGCTCGAAGTTTCACAGGTAAAGAATTCAGTATATAGTGAACACAGACTTGATGACTGGCAATTTTTGAGGGCTGGGCAAATGTGTGGAATTATTATTAAAAACTTTATGAAATCTTAAACTTTACCGAACATTATAGAAATTGCTTCCCTTGCACACTTATGAAGTAAGCTTCCTGGGTTGACAAAACAGGACAGTGCAAGCCTGCTTATCTCTGCCAAAGATATGACTCCAGCACGGGATCTGAAACAAGATATTCCTAAAGCCGATAACGTGAGATCTCATGACCCATATGCAAACCCATTGTCTGACTGAAGGTTAAACAAGGTGTTCAGGCAAATAACAGGCACAAAATTACTATGTGGGTTTCAACAGATATAGGAGGGATTACATTGAATATCGGTTTCTTGCCAATGGACAAACGATTGATCAACGTTACCCAAAACTAAGATATACAAAAGAGACGCAGAAGAGGGGAGAAAAAAAAAACTTCAGATAGGACTGAACTTACTGCAAATTTGAACAGAGGATGGTGCTGCAAAGTGATTCATACCGGCTTTGGCCATGCATTATGTCCAGTTCAAGATGAAACAGAACAGAACAGACTGCCGACTCCAGCAGTGGATATCAGCTTCATTATCTGTTTGTCCAATTTGGGACCAGAAAGTGATTCTAAGGAGAATGCTGCTGGTGGCCACTGGTATCCGGATACCCGTACTTCTCTTGTCTGCCCCGATGTGTGATCAGTAAACCACTCTGGCCTCTTAAAGACCGTATTTATTTTCTGCTTTTTAGTTTACGTACAAAATCTAAACTGCTACTTAGTCAACTGCTTTAAAATCACTGATGGCATTGACCTCCTTTCTGGGTAACTTTGGGCTTCTGGGCCAAAATTTAACAGTCTATTAGTTAAGGAATCTTAAAAAGAAATGAATAGTAGTGAAAATGACGTTACAGGGCTCTGAGGAAATTTGCACATTTAGGAGGTTTTAAAAAATATATCAAGATCAATGCAATCAAACAGCAAAGTCAGTAGAGGAAACAATAGGCCAAAAGTCTTTTTTTCACTAATTTCAGTAGGGTGATCTGAAACTGATAGAAAGGAAGCCTTGTGCTGAAATATCAAACACACTGCCAGGTGTGATCATTTCATTTTAATGAAATCCAGACAATTTCAAAACTAACAGCTGTTTTATTTTGTACAAAACAATGGGTGAACAAAATTAAACTTTCACAAAGCCGAAAGGCAAAACATATGGTTATTACTTCTTTATTTAAAAAAAAACCTTACTACCTCCCTGTCAAAACAGTGCAGACATTTTAAAACTTAGAGAAGTTACAATGGCTGCCTGCTGGAATACATACAGTTCAACTGGCAGGGTGACGCGCAAAAAATGCCAAAAGGATTTTTTTTAAAAATCCCCTTAATAGCAAAAATGAAAAAAAAAGACACATTCGATGTTACTACCCGGAATCACATACCTACTATAGGATGTAGGAATAGGAGGCTTCCATACATCTTTTTAAGCTTCCTGTTCCTGCTGGATAGAATGCATTCAAGACTAGAGACACCACAAGGAGTGGTGGCAAATTGGGTTGTATTTCAACTTGTAGAGCTAATTAACAGCAAATCACTAATGTTGAGAATACTACAAACTGCTAGGTTACTTAAGAAAGGGAGTGTTCAAGTTAGTACCACAAAAACATTTGCAGTTAATAAATCCAGCTCGTGTAGGAGTTGTAAAACAAAGTGTCGTGCCTGAATGAACATGAGAATACAGTCATTTATGTCATTTTAAGAATGGAAAGAGGAAATTTTGAAGTATTTTAAAATAGATTAATTAGTGGCCTGGATGTTGAAATTTACTGGACTATATGGAGGAGTCAGAAAACAAAGTAACTTGAAAAACCAAACTTCTAAAGAACAAATTTCATGAAGAATAAAGAAACTACCATGATTGAGAGTTTTCTTTTAATAGTGTGCCAAGTGATGACAACTAGAGAATTAAGGGGAACTTGCTTGACAATGTGTGGGAATTTAAATGTCAAATTAGACGAGAAAAGTTGATGAACCAACTCACCAGTATGTTGAGGAAATCAACCTGGCTTATGTTTGGCTTCATAAATTGAATCACTTTAAATATCCACAATAAGAAAAGCCACAAAAAGGAGTGTCAAAAACTAAAATATCTAAGGCTGTAGTTACCCTCAAAAGGACCAGGTAAGAAGTTTTGCATCAGAACTTGCATCTTCTTCAAAATTTCTGAAACTATCCCTTCAAAAATATCGGGTCTGGACCCCTTCTTCAAAAATGGGGAGGGGGAAGGGAGCTGGGAAAGAAATGGGGGGGGTCTGGGGGAAGGTAGGTGGGATGGTGATAAGTGAGTGCAGGTAGGGAGTGGTGGGGATTGGTCAGTGGAGGTAGGAGGAGGAGTGGATAGGTGGGACAGAAGATGGACAGGTTGTGTCAGATCAAGGAGGCGGGGATGAGAGGGAGATTTGGACTTGGGATGAGGCCAAGGGGTGGGGAGATTTTGAAACTGGTGAAAATCAGAATAAATGGCAAGTACCAAGAGTTTTAGATTTCTTTGTCAATCTCATGTATAAAAGTCAATCCCTGATTAACAAATCAGTTGAGTATGTATGGTATTCAGTACCCCTCACCCCTTACATACTCAAAGTATGGTCTTTGGTTGCAGCACTTCTTTCAGGGACGTTTTTCAGTTTAAACCATTTTTGAGTGGTTATCTATTTTGCAGGCTGCTTATCACTTACTGGATTGTGAAATAGCTTCTTACCTTCTCTGATATAAATGGATTACAGGATAATAAAAGAGATTCATTTGCTTCCTGCACTTCCCCTGGTGCCACCAGCAGTTTACAGCAATGAACAACACCTAGACAGAGGGAAGAATCCAGTTCCATTATATGGATTTATGTCAGCCCAAGCAACACTATCGTGCTTTAACAAAGTAAAATAAATGCTTTTTATTTTAATCTAAGAACACCTCAAATTCAAAATGCATAACTGTTCAGTGGCAAAATAGACTCCAAAAAAAAAGTAATTGCTCAACAACAGAGGAGTTGAAGCAGCAGTAGGTGAATTCTACAACTGGCCTTAATTGCCAAGGATCCGAAAGAGCTGGTGATTCGAAAGCAGGGGAGAAAAAGAGCAAGAAAAACATTAAAAGATTTGAGGAGATCTGTCTGCCGTTCAAGTCTGTTAGAATAAACCTTGGTTCAACAACAAATCTGAGAAACATCATCGCTGACATTAAAAACTACATTCCCATATTGCCCTCGAGCAGGAACTGAACCTGTAGATTCGAGCAGACCCTAAAACATATACCCAAGTACACATACAGGGCAAATGAATGAAGAAAACCAGCTAAAGGAGTGATTCAGGAGGTGGGCAGACACACACACACGAGGACAGCTATAAGGAACTTACAATGATCTATGTTCGTTTGCATAAGCCGACACAAATTTAAGCCACTGATGTTTATAAATCTTTTAAAATTACACATTTCAATCTAATCTAAGAGCCACCTACAACGTGCCAACAATAGATTACTGGTGAGCAAGTAGGCGTGAAGGCGTAGGAGGCAGGAAGGTCAGTGTCAATAGGCACATAATTTAAACTACCTTACTGCCGCCTCAGTCTCATCAATAATTCTAAAAAAAATACTCGAGTAGGAGTCCACATCAAACTGAAGTTTACTTTAATCTCCTGCATAAAATCTGTTTTGAAAGATTCCTCGCTGAGTCATAAGCTTAAGACACAAAAAAAATTTAGGAGTTATAATTTAGGCTTTCTGGCACCCTTGAAAAGAAATGAACTGGTTTTGCTACTCAAATAACAGTAATTATGTTCAGCAGTTAAACTTTTAACTTACAAAGTTCTTTCCTACCAGCAACATACTGCCCTAGAAATTGGGCCAGGTTTATAGACTGCCATTTAAAGCAGTTTCCCCAATCTCCAATTAAAAAATGAGAGAGTGAAGCCAATTGTGTCTCTGGGATTTAATTCTATACAAGCAGAACTCAGACATTAAAACAAGCTGTGCAACTGAAGAGATGTCAGAATTTGAAATAGTGTAAACACACAAGGAGAATACTAAGGTGCGTAGCAGCCCAACAAGGAATACTGTACATTGTTAATTTTTAACTCTCCTTGAAATTTCAGAGATTGTTCCTTGAAACCTTGAGAATCCACAACGGATTTCAGTTGACAGTCAATTTGCCAATATGAAACAATCTTTTACTAGCCCCACTCTCAAAATCATTTGCAAGGCTGAAATTATATTAAATTCTCATTTGTCATGACAAATAAAATATGTTATGCCCTTTTCTCCAAATTTACCTTGTAACCCAGAAAAAAAAACTCATGTAGATTCTTAAAAGGAGTAAACTCTAAAACACAACCAAGATTAGCAGAAACTTAAAATAGTGACCACACAGGAGTAGTTTAAAATTTCCACTGCTTTGAGACTGTGATTTTTGCAAACAAAAAAGGTTCAAGGCTAAATAATTTAACAACAGACAATTAAGTAACTTTTTTTGAACGATGTGAAATACAATAATTACAATATGGAGTAGTTAGGAAAAAAGGGAGAAAAACTACCAACATGTAAGGAATACACCAGACTGTACCTCTAGTACATAACACCCATTTAGTGCATTTGCAAGTTGCAGATTTACTTCCAACTGTAAAGACTACACATATTTTATTTGGAAACAAACTGGAAAATGGAAGTTTGAATTACTTGTTTTTAAACAACTAGAAGAAAAATTGGAACTGTGACGATCTTCTGTTGGAACTGGATTTGAGGTATTTTCCATATCAACTTGTTCAGAAATGTTACTGCACACTCTCGAGCAGGTGGAACTTGAACCCAGGTCTGCTTGCACAGAGGTAGGGGAACAGCAACTGCACAAGAGCCCCTTTGGAACTGGATTTGATATTTTTGTACTGACACAAAGATGTTTTACAATGAAAATAAGTAAATACCCAGCAATAGATTTGCGCTGGTTTAAAAAGTAGCAGTTTGACACTGAACTAAGAAGAGAGGAGAATATTTGGGACACAGGCCTGCAAAAAGCCTGCAGCAAGCTGGAATTACTCTCGCTCTAATTTGAAAAGAACTGACATTCAAAGCCTTTGCAAAAAAAAACTAATTTAATCCAAGAACCAAGTCCAACTGATGGACTACTGAATTAAGGATGGTCACAGCTGATGACAATATAATTTCAGTACTAAAAATCAAAAAGGATTTGCAAAGTAGTCACCTCATTCCCCCTTTTGGTTTGAACTCAGATCCACAAACTGTGCCTTTTTTTGCCTATATTTATTTTCCACCCATGATATTCCTTAACAGACTGTCAGTCTCTCCTACGTGTGAATGAATGTATGGGTGCATTTGGATTTAAAGAGGGCAATTTAAGTTTGTGTTATGAGTTAATAATCTGTTTTGCCATAATTTAGAGCAAAAGGTTTATTATAATAAAGAAGCAGTTTCTTGTTAAATGAAGAAACCTGGTGAGTTTCTTTTATCTTAGATAGTGATCACTATCAGGCCAGGTCAGTGATTCAGGCTTTATGCTAGTGATTAAACTGCTCATATTTCACATTCATGACAATTCGGAGAATAATGGGGTTTTACTTCTAGCGCACTATTCTCACCAGGGTATTGACAAAGGGCAGGGGGAAGTTGGCAGTGAAAGATTAAGGACATATCACCTGATCCTGAAGCTTCATTGCGACCTGATCAATTTCTTCTCTGACAGAAATGGATTCTCCACACCAAGGAGCATAAAACAGAATAACATAGACTTCAGATACGTGGCAATATCTTTCCACTTGATCCAGTTGCCCCATGTACAGGTCAATAACAGGAGAGTTGGGGGAGAAAAATCGAACAGGTGGTGGGGCCATTTTGACCACATCTTTGGCCCGACTGTAAAAGAAACCAAAAGCAAATACTTATTTATCATAACAAAATCATAATTTAAAATTGAACAATTGCAAACACTGACAGAATATCTTAAATGGAAATAACTTTCTCCAATTTCTCACCTCTTAACATGAATGTCAGGCATTGTGGTCATGACTTGGAAGCAATGTTAAAAGTACTAAATCAATCAATCACGAACAGAAATGCAAATAAACATTCTTCGCCTTTTTACTTCCCAATGTCCATTATAGATACAGGAATCCATCTGAAATCTTGCTTTTTGCAAAGCATGTATGAATTAGAAGCAAAGTGCTTTGCTGTGCCCAAAATGTCCCCATAATGCACCAGCAACCAGTGAAAAAGCAGTATTTCCCGCCGGGCATTCATTGCTCAAAAAAAAACAGGCCTCACACTTCTTCAATAGGATTATTTTCATGCCACATGTAATCCAGCAATGCACCATACCAAATAGATTTTAATATCTTATCAATAGCTATGTAAATGTTTTATTTTAGAAAAGGAGGAAATGATTTAATGTGATGCAGAATATTGTGGTAAGGATAAATCTGGATGTCCTTGTATATGAATCACAAAGTCAGCATGCAGATACAGCAACTAATTAGGAAGGCAAGTGTAATATTGGCCTTTTCTCACGATAAAAGTAGAGAAGACTTGCTACAACTATACAGGGCAGTGGTGAGGCCATTTTCTAGACAGTGCTGTGTAGAGTTTTGGTCACCTTGCTTAAGAACAGACCATTCCGAGAAGATTCACAAGGCTAATTTCTGGGTTGAGGAGTTTGCCTTATGAGGAATGGTCAAGCAGGTTAGGCTATACTCAAATGGAACTTGGAAGAATGTGAGGTGACCTTTTTGAAATGTGACATTCTGAGAGAGCTTGAAAGCATGAAGAAATCTTTAACCAGAGTTTAAAAACAAGGGATCTTTCTTTTAAGACAGAGATGAAGTAGAATTTCCTCCAAAAGAGGGTCTTTACTGTTTGGAATTCTCTTCTACATTGCTGTGGAGGCTGGGTCATTACAGTCATACAGAATTGAAACAGACCCTTCGGTCCAAATCGTCCACGCTGAACAGACATTCGATCTGACCTAGTCCCATTTGCCAGCATTTAGCCCATATCCCTGTAAACCCTTACTATTCATATACCCATCCAGATGCCTTTTAAAAATGTTGTATTTGTACCAGCCTCCACCACTTCCTCTGACAATTCATTCTGTACAACACTATCCTCTGTGTGAAAAAGTTGCCCCTTAGGTCCCTTTTAAATCTTTCCCCTCTCACCTCAAACTGCGTGACCTTGGTCTTGGCTCTGTCTTATGCAACTGGATCCTCAGCTTTCTGATCCATAGGCAGCAAACAGTGAAGATAGGTAACGGCACCCCCTCTACAATAACACTGGAGCCCCCCCCCAAGGATGCATCCTCAGCCTCTTGCTGTACTCCCTGTACACCTATGACTGTGTTGCCAAATTCTGAACAAACGCCATCTACAAGTTCACTGACGACACCACTGTAGTAGGACGGATATCTAACAAGTTAAAACACAGAAGGGAGAGAGGGGGCTTGGTAACGTGGTGCAATGAAAACACACACTGTCTCTCAACAATGGCAAAACTAGAGAACTGATCATGGACTTCAGAAAGAAAGGAGGAGAACACGTCCCCATCTACACCAACGGAACTGAGGTTGAGAGAGAGTGAAGAGCATCAAAAGGTCCTCGGAGCAACAATAACGGACAACCTGTCCTAGACTTCCCATGTGAATGCGACCGTCAAGAAGGCACAACAACACCTCTTCTTCCTCAGGCAGCTCAGGAAATTTGGCATGTCCATAAGGTCCCTAACCAACTTCTACAGATGCACCATTGTAAGCATGGTGTCTGGGTGCATAATGGCCTGGTATGGCAATTGCTCTGCCCAGGACCGTAAGTAACATCAGAAGGTGGTGTGCACAGCCCAGACCATCAGGGAAGGCAACTTTCCATCCAAGGATTCTATTTACACGACTCACTGCCACGGAAAAGCAGACAAAGACCCATTGCACCCTGGTAATCATCTCCTACAACGTCTTCCGCCAGGCAGAAAATAGAGAAGCCTGAACACACGCACAAGCAGTTTCAGGAACAGCTGCTTTCTGGCCATTACCAGACTGTTGAATGGACTCTAGGCTCAAATAATGTAATCTGCAATGTAACCTGTATGTCTTTAAGTCTTTTTGATCTGTACACCCTTTGCTTGCTATGATCTTCTTGTACCACTCGTAAACAAAGCTTCTCATTTTATTATCACATGTATCAAAATACACACAAAAAAAAACAATTAAACCTATGCCTTCTAGCTTTGAACTCCCCCACCCTAGGAAAAAAGATCTTGCCTAGTCACCCTATCCATGTCCCTCATGATTCTATAAACCTCTATAAAGGTCACCCCTCAGTCTCCGACACTTCAAGGAGAAAACTGAAAACACCAACACAACATAGGTGGAGTGAAACATTTTACTTGGAACTTTTGGTTATGGTTGGCTACAAGGAGGCCCATTGGACTCGAAACATTGACTCTTTTCTCTCCAGATGCTGCCAGACCTGCTGAGCTTTGAGCAATTTCTGGTTTGCTGTGCAATGGGCTGCCTGGCGCCTTGGATGAGATCGCTCCTGTTGAATGTCAAAAATTCTCTCGAGCAGAGACTAGAATCAAAGTAATGTAAAAAAGAAAAAGGATGAAATCCCCCCAATAATATTAATAAATCTTTTGGGGCAGCTTTCAGAGAACAGCGGCTAATCTCACAGCTTTGACGCTGACTGCAATATCCAAGCAACAATTTCTGTAAAAAGTGTGCGATATGATGAGAAAGCCAATAAATACATGTTCCAAATCTTGCTCAAGCTGTATTTGTATCTTCCAGTGCATCAAACAAACACGAACATTCAACGATGTGTAATACAGTGCCACCTAGCAACAAAACATTGGTGATGCAGGAATGCAATGCAGCGCGATACTGGAGATTGCAATCAAGAGGATGGGAGTCTGTTGAGCACATTGTTAAATGCAACTAAAACCTGGGGTTTTATTTAGAAGCAATAAAACCCAGAGACAGGGGCAGAGGCTCTACCAGTGCAGCATTTGTAACCAAAAATGTCCCACAATTTTGATGTAGCAAATGATGCATGCACCTACTTCTGTTTGTCAGACTAATGAGGAAAGCCCTGAAGTGTGCCAGCCTGAATTTCAAAAAAAAATGGAAACTGCCCAGAGCAGCAAAATTTGTGGCCTTTCAGCGAAACAGAAATTTTCACACTAAGGTAATCAATTACAGACAGCACCATCAAATGGAGCTAAAAGAATTTGTTTTAAATGGGGCTATTAAAAGTGAAAAAGATCCATTGAAGACTTTTGAAATCGCTGAATGGGTGCAACAGCGAGAAAGTCTGAAGGAAATAAATTATTGCCTTAATTGAAGAAACTGAACTTTGGTCAACTTCACCAGTCCATAGGCAATTAATGTTGGTTAATGCAATAGAGTCAAAATTTGGTTTTAAAGTTAAACAGGACCCCTTTTTTTTTTAAAAGTTTAAATGCATTCAATTAATTATTTCTATTACATAAATTGCTTTCCTTTATTTCTTTATAAAAACTACATTTACGGTCAAATAGTTAAAATTATTTCGCAGACCAGGATGAATTCTTTATATATGTGGATACACAATTAGCTTGTAGTGATACTCTTAAAACAGAAAAAAAAGTTTAAAAAATGGACATCAGGTTAAATCAATACAGTTGAAGTGACAAAACCAGATGAACACTGTTTGGTTTATTATGTTCACAATAAACAAAAGTAATAAACCCCACCCATTTGATTTTTAAAGGCCACTATACAACTCCTGCTTTCAAATACACTTACTTTGAATGAAAGCATTTGGGAAGAGAGTTTAACGAGTGTTAAACCACAGCATGCAACTTAAAGGGTAAATGATAAAACATGTTAATTAAAATTTCCAAGTACAAGTCTGACAATTGGCATTTCAGTTCTAGTCAGCATTTCCAGTACAGTACAAAAGCATTAGAAGGTTGAGGTCCAGTACAGCATCCCACACAACGGCTAGTTTTAAAAAATAATTTTAAAAAGATAAATTGGATTTCAAAAGCAAAGATGGCAAGAGCATTGCAAACTAATGTGAGAACAGCTGTTGACATTTGAAGCGGTTATATTTCAGGAAGAATTTCAAAAAAAGGTGTTGTTTGCTTGGTTTGCATTTTCAAACTGTGATTAAAAACAAACATTCCTAAAGCAGGACACTTCCATAAAATGGAAACAAGTTCTTGAGGAAATCACTTAAAGAAACCGCACAGACTGGCAATTGTTTATGCAAATACAGAGACACAGGACACACAAAGAAAAACATACTCAATAAACCAACACACAGACATCTCTTCCTCACTTCAGTTTCTGATCTTGCTTGTCTACACAATGAATTAGTCAAGCATGAATGTATCCCCCAACAAGACACTTCAGCCTCAGTATGTCATTTCAACTGGTTCACAACAAGAACATTTAAAATTAACTGAAACTGAACCACCACAAAATTGGATTTACAGCAGTTAGCAAAAACTGGCACACCACGAAACAACTTCTCCGATACAAACACAAATTTTATAAGGGAAGCCCCAGAGGGACCTGTCAACGGATGGTTAAGTTCCCAAACAAATTTTCAGAACAACTTCATCCGAGTAATCAGCAATAATAAAATATGACCCTGTCTGACAAAACTCCCACTATACAAACAGACAGTTACTGCAGTCAGTATGTATACTAAACAGAAAAGCTGATTATTTTACTGCTGTACTAAGGTTTACTTTTATACATTCATTCACAGGGGACAAGTCGCTAGCAAGGCCAGTTTTATTGCCCATCCCAATTACCCACGACATGGTGGTAAGTCACCTCTTGAATTACAGCAGTCTAGGGAAGGTACACCCACAGTGCTGCGATATAGAGCTCCAGCATCAACAATGTATTTCCAAGGCAGGATGGTGAGTGACTTGCAGTGGTGGTATTCCATGTGCCTGTTGCCCTTGTTCCTCCATATGACAGATATAGAGGGTTTGGGAGGTATGGTTAAAGTAGTCTTGCCACACTGCATTGTGTGGATGGTACATA